ATAGTGCTGTTTAGGAACGGTAAGCTTTCGGATTTTGCCTCGAATGGTACACCATGGTAAACCTGATCGAACGCCATGATTTTTTCACAGATCTACGTGCCCCAGTGTCTAGTTTCAGAAACTGAAACCGCAAGTCTGTAGCATTCACCGTTAAAAAGTTATAAGCGAAATATCGGAGTCCATTATATTTTGATACAGATAGTAGTTGGTTAAAATGTCGCGTACTTCCAATCTCAATATGAAGTGGAAATTAAAAGTCGACTTTCTTAGCGCCAGAAGGAATAAGCTCTAACTTTGTAGAAACTTTGTTTATTCTTCTAGATAATAATAATGTTTGAATAAAGTGTCGAGGTCGATTCGTTTTCAAAACGCCAGCAGAACCCGGCGCTCTAACCATCCGATTAACCGGACCCTCCAATCACCCAGTTAACCTACTTAATAACCACCCTCTTATTAAATATATTTCGTCTTCGAAGTTAGCTTAGCCGGTCGGTTAGTTGAGTTAGGGGCTAAGTAACTAGGTAAAAAAGTACATTTATCTAGATCCATCAAGTGAATAACCGCCCGGTTATGAAATCGATGGAGTTAGATTTTCTCCATAGAGCTTTTTTGGTTGGATGCCATAAACCGACGAGAAAGTCGGAAAGTCATGATGATAAAAAAGAACATTTAACTACTAAAAGACCACATAACTGTGCAATGAGCCTCAGATTGAAAGACGGTGCCATGACTTGTTAATTTTCGAAATCAATTATATTGTTCAAGAAAAAATATACCTTTTTCCGGGATCATCTGTGCATTTTTGGCGAAAATTAGTAAACGGCATCAATTCTGCTTAATTTCCGGGATCAAAAATGTATTTATCCCAAAGTTTTTCTCAAAAAGAAAGTTCTTTTAATGTAATTATTCTTTCATCTGTTCTATATTTTAGAACTTGAAATTACATACTAATCGAAAGAGCGCAGAAAACCGAACAAAATGAATTTTTTGAAATCAAATTTTGAGGTGAGTATAACTACGATACATATAGCTTTTTTTTCTTCATTTATAGAATTCAAAGTTCTAATTTTTTCGTTCTTTTGCATGGCAAAATTTTCATTTGACAACATTCATAATGACGAAGACTCTATCCAACACATCTATATATATGTTGGCGTTATTATATGATGAAAATTTGATAATTTTGGCGGGAATTTTGTGCACATTCCATTAACAATACTTAATATAATAAAATAATGTTTATTTTGTTATTCGTCTCTTTCTGTCTGTATGATACAGTAGTTAAAAGTAGAAAATATGTATGTGTTTTTCTTTTTTTTGAATGAAATACCGTCATACATATATAACATACGCACACCGATAGATAAGACAATTTAATGACGTAACATTTCAAATGTCAATGTATGTGTTGTTAGTGCTCTTAACGAGTAGCTGTAGAAATGAAAAAACAAGAGGTGATAACATAACTTTCTGAATTATAGTCATTTTTTCTAACAAAAGAAAAAGAGCTTTTTCTTGTTAAGTCATGATCAAGACAAGACATACCAAAATTGTAATAAAAGAAATGTAGCCATTGTAAAAATAAGATTAGAAAGGGATAAAGTGGCTTATATTTCTTAAAAACCTAAAATCGAAAACATTTCACAAACCATATGCGAATTACCGATGATGACAGACTGTTTTTCCAACAGTGGAAACAGACAACATTACCATTTGAAAAATGGACACATAAAGCTCACCTATTAGTCTCGTTTATTATTGTCAATGAACATTTGGGTGATAAAAATGCAATTTACAAGGAAATGAAAGAGGGAATCGAACGTTTTAACTCAATACATAAAGAGAAATTGAAAGTTGGATTTCATGAAACTATCACTCGTTTTTGGCTTAATCAAATGGAATTATCCGTCGAGAAACATAAAGAGGAAAATAATTTAGATTTTGAAGAATTTCTGAACAAAGAAAAACATCTATTAGACACACGGTTAATGTTCGAATATTATTCAAAAGAATTACTTTTCTCCGAACAGGCAAAAAAAACATTTGTCAGTCCTGATCTTAAATAAAACAAAATTTTCGAGATCTTGAATTAAATTATTAATATTCGCAACTTCGTCGAAGAAATCCAGTTTCAAGAGTCAATTTACCCACAAAGAAAATTATCTTTGCTGTCCGTAGAACATAATCAGTTCGATTCAATTGTGCACTACTTTGTCCTTTTATATCGTAATATATTGTAATTTACTTTGTCCTTTTGTATTATATATTGTCTATCCATGTGTATTATGCAACTTCGGAAAATGTTTTCAAAAATCCTAAAGGGTAGCCAAGGACATCAAAATCCTCATATCGGAGTTGTGAGAAACTAAGTGGTGGAATTAGTTATGCACCAGGTGTCGAGTTATCCAAACTTCCAGCTACCCGAAGTTCGAGCTAGCCGAAAATTAAGTCTGTTTTTTTCTAATGGATATTATTCTCAGGCCTCTGTATTAAAGAGGTTGCTACGCTTTTATACTATTTTGCATGTTAAGTTCATTTTACACTTTACACAAGTAATCTGAACTCTTACGTCGCTGTAGTATTTTGCCATAAGAAAAATTTCGTTTTGTGCTTAGAGTAAGACGTTTTTGATTTCAATCTTTTGAGTAGAGTAAAAGTCAAAACAGTCATTTCGCGTAACTCTGCTACTTGAACTTGACGGCGTTACCGTTTCTGAGGAGCTTCAAAGCATTATATCCACAATCTTCAGGTGAGAATATTAATAACCTGTTAATTTCAAAGGCTTTTTTACCTGATCTGATACTTTGATAAATTCTGAGAAAATATTTTTATAATATGCAGAAAAGTTACAGTCAAAATAGAGGCTGTTACGGGATTCCGAAAAATGGATCTGTGTATTCAGTAAAATGGAAATTACTCAACCTCAGATTAATTCTGTAATAATAGCTTAGTTACCAAATTGAAGCTCACAGTATGGGCTATTATAAGCACCATAGACTTTTTCTTGAAATAGTTCTCTGGCAGAAGACACCGAAAAAAAGTTTGCGTTACGTAAATCAACCTATTTTTGTTCTCCTTTGGTTTGGTATATGTTTTTTCTGTTACAGAACTACTTACCAAGCTCTGATTTGCACACAGATAGATAGTTTGAGGTGCCCTCAATTCGATGCAGCCAAAAATAAAGTTTCAAAATCAAACTAAATGGGTAGAAAATTGTTCACAAAATAAGCGCCAAAACGTTTTTTAGGAAATCAGAAAACATTTTCCTGTTGACACATGAAAATAAATGAGGCATTTGGTAGAGAATTCGATTCTCTATCCGATGGTATGTTTCCAAAATTTTTGGAAAGAATATCTAGATGAGGAAGCTGAATTTAAAATTTAAAACCTTTTAAATTTAAATTTTCCTTACGAAAAGTTAACTTTAATTTGTTTTTGAATTCAGATTCGTAATCAGCGCGAAAAACTGCGTCTAGTGATGTATTTCTAACCTTTGTTCAAGAGAAAACAACAATATGAACCTGCTGATCCGATGGATAACCGTTAGCTGGCCATGCCGAACTGGAAAATTAGAGTTTTTTGTGAGAAAAACACCATTATACATTGTCAAAATTAATCTTTCGTTTGCATTTTTACATTTCTTTTCGTGTCATATAAAAAGTATGATCGGGAAATAAAGATCTATTGTTTCTATTATATGATAATCGCTGTGTGATACTTCTCGCTTGCTATCTTATTTTAGATTTGCAAAGTGTAACTATATCCACATACACCAAATCTGACACTCTTGATCATATTATGCATACGTTCTTTCGCTAAACTCAATGTGGAAAATTATTAAAGAAGTGATGCACGCTATGTGTATTAACAGCCAGATTGTAGTAGTAGAATGCGAGACGATACTTTCTGACCAAAACAAGACTGAAGCATTGAATGTACGAGAATTTAAAAGTCAAAAACATACATACTGCTGGAGGACCCTATTCAGATGCGAATCAACGAGTTTCTGATGGATGTACTTATTGATTTAACTGTCTCCATAAATCTTTGTTTATGACGAGTATAATCACGTAAAAATATTGGCTTCAACCCAAATCTGTAAAGACTTTATGTTTTTTGGCGTGAACGAAGCGGCTTTTAAATATTTCTTTTTAGATGCAGATCCAGATTTAAAATTTCTTTTAAAAGTTTTTAGATGCAGTTTTCGACGTTGATAAAGAAACAAATTATTTTAAACTTCCCAACGATAATTAAGATAGAGATTTTTGATTATTTTCAAAAATTAGGCTATTTTGTAAGGGTTTAAAATTTTTGAGTTTTTTCAACTTTTTCACCCTAAAAGGTTTAAACACACATATTCGGATGCAGCTCAACGAGTTCTGTCGAACCAGGTATAAAAATCGGAAAAAGAAAAAGCGCTGGAATTTTGAATTTCCTTAACCTTACAACTCCACATTGCTTTACAACCTAGAAACAATCAGCTGATCAAACAGCAAGCGTACACTCTAAGAAAATGCGACTTAGGATCAAATTAAGTCGCATTAATGTGCCTTAGTTTGATCCTAAGTTGCATTTTTTAGAGTGTATCGTTTGATATGCCAAACATATTATTTCTATATCAGGCTATGCCCTACAAAACAGGGGCTCAATCAACCTCTCATCACTTACTGTTATTGGAGAAGATTTTATTTTTAGTAGAAGCCTCATTGCCTTATTCAAATATGGGCTAGGGTAACTGCTCTGAATACTCACCACTCTTCATTGACACATCTTTCATCTACGAAATCCGTTTTGTTGGTCATCAGAGTTTCTAATTATTTTTTATTAGTTCCAGGTTTACTCTTTCTCTAGTCTAGGTGGATAGTATTATTTCTTGCACTAGAATGAGCGAATCAGAAGCCTTAGTCTATATGTCAAACTACCATTAGGTAAACATTTAAACATTAACGAGTGAGCTGTGGCTTACGATCGTCTCTTGGAACGCATCAGTAGGAGAAAATAACGTGGAATTAAAAATCTGGTGTAGTTTAAGTCCTTCTTCTTTTTGACTACAAAGTCAAAAAAACTATACGGAAACTTGTTACAGAAAAATATACATGTTGATTATCCGTTAAGGAGTGTTCTTCAAAAACTGAACTGTCTTCACCATCAGATTAATAGAAATTATTTAATATTTGTTAAAATATTATTTGAACTTGCAGTCTCACACGAATATATTAGATTGAAAGTATCGACGTAGGGTGCAATTTCTTCAAAAACGTGATTTTAAAAATGAATACTTGTAATTGTGTTTTTCTCAAGTAATTGAGTTATTATAGTTGCAATCCGATCAGGAGCATCATCACCAATGAAGTGACCACAATTATATAGAGCATGCACGTCTGCATGTGGCATTAAACCTTTGAAATACTGAGTACCAGAATTGGTAAAAAGCTGAGATATGATAATGAAATTATTAGCCTTCTTTGCGTGGCTGCTCAGACACAATGAGTGAACACTTTTACACTGCCTTTAATTGAAATACATGACTATCTATTTATATAAGGTGCACGTAATGCAAACTTACAGTGGAATTTGTTTGTGGCATTATTATACATATTCAGATTCAGCTTAACGAGCTGATTACGAATAACACCTTCCGAGCCTCCAAAGCTAATTCTTCATGGAGAAAAACTCAAATTACTGAGAGGACCTCAAAAATACAAAAAACCGTCCTCTATGATGAAATTGACTTTTTGAGCTTGTATTGCAAGATGGAAGGTTCGAGCTATACTTTTCTGAATCAGCATTAAAAACTGATTTAGAAGAAGGTTTTCAGTTTATTTCAGAGATAAACAGTCGTCCGCCATGGACGTCCGAATCAACGGCTGTCAACTGAGTATGACTCATTTTGTAAACCTATGTAGTTTTTTGGGTGAAGGACTATATCGATGATTCACACACTATCAGATCGGCCAACACGCCAGCTTTAAAAGTATATAGAGTCCTTTTCAAAATTCGTTTTTCTTCCATGCTATGATAGCCTAAGGTATCCTCTTCAAAATGAGAGTCAAGTGAGACCTTGGTTTTCCGAGGCTCGGGTGCTGTGTCGGATTTCTTGCAAGTTCAAGAACAGGCACTCGGTGACTATTGGTAGCCTTGAAAATGGATGGACTACAGGTAATCGATCATGCTGAGTCTTGTGGCAATATTTCTTTTTAGAACAAAATCGAAAAGTATACCGAAAAGTATACAAAAATTTGGGTTTTCAGGCTCGTTTTACCCATTAAAAAATTCACTATTCACTCAATAAACATCACAACGAGTTCAGACCTTCAGAATATAGAGCACTTAAGCTATTACAATTTAATTAAAATTTAAATTCGCTTTTCAGTAGACTTTTCGAACTTTTCCTAAAAACAAATATTGCCACAAGACTCAGCATGATCGATTACCTATAGCCCATCCATTTTCGAGGCTACCTCATCTTGTTCTCTGCGTTCATAAAACTTGAAAGCACCTAGATCGACTTCTACGTGGTGTAGTTCATGCTATGGGAGCAACAACAGCAAGGACATTTGAGACCCACTAAATTCAGAAGCTTTTCTAGCTGATTATTAAGAAATTATTTGAATAGCGAATTGAGAAAGTGAACATAACAAGGTTAAGATAAAGAAGCTTAGAGAAAGAATAATGGGAGAAATGAAAATTTTTAAAAATCACTACAGTTCTCTTTTCCATTTATGTCTCTTTTTGTATTTTAAAACGGAAACAGGAAATATGCCAGATTAATCATCATCAACACTGACAAGTTCTGACTCTATTGCGATTGTTGGTGGTTCAGGTGGTGAATTGGGCGCTGGCAAGCCACCTACACTGAATCTTACCTCTGCACATTCGTTTTTGTCTGATATTCGAACCTAAGAGTAATTAAAATAAGAAAACATAAAAGAGATACTACAAAACCTCTATACCTTGAAATGATACAGTACAGCACAAGCATCTACCATAGATCCTTTAACCGGTTGCAGTTGGAATCCTTTTGGTACTTGAGGAAAGGCGCCTTCGGTCTTGCGCAAGCCACCTT